CAACCTCCGCCTCCTGGGTTCAGGCAATTCTCCTGCCTCAGCCTCCTGAGTAGCTGGGATTACAGGCACACACCACCATGCCCAGCTAATTTTGAAATTTCACTTTTATGTCTCATCATTTTAATCAATAATTTGGAAGAAGACACAGACGGGATCTATCAAATCTGCAGATTGAGCCAGAATGATAGGGTCTAGGCTAAAAAGATGCTTCAGTTGGCTGCAAAGATAAGCTGACATCTGCATATAAGGAAGAGAGGTAGGGTCAGCCATTCACAGATGAACCTGCACCTGAGCAGCTCCCAAGCCTGGCATCACGGACACCAAGGGAGCTTAACAAACTAGAGAGAAGATAGATTTTTCAGACCTACCTCAGACCCACAGAAGCAGCATTTCACAGAGTGCCCCACCCTACCAGGTGTTTCAGTTAGGTGTGGGAATCAGAAGTGTTTCTCCAAGTGTGATCCCAGCACCAGCAGCAACGTCACCTGAGAACTTGTTAGAGATGCAGATCTTCAGGCCCCACCCCAGATCTGGTGAATCAGAAACTCTGGAGGGGAGCCTGGCACCCTGTGTTTCAACAAACCCTCCACGTGCTTCTGATGTTTGGGAACCATTGCTGTAGAAAAGTACTCAACCCCATTTCAACACAGAGCACCCATAATCTGATGGATGGAAATCCTTTTACAACAGCAATAAAATCCATTAAATTCAAGGGTAGGAATTCAACTTGGGACAAGAGAGAATCAAAAAAAAATTAGAAAGACTTAAAGGGAGAAATAAAGGAAGGAATAAATAACAAGGAGCTAGATTATGCTCCTTGTGGAAAAGGCCCATGCACAGACTTAGTTAGGTACCAGCAATGTTCTCCTTTTGTAGAAATAAGTGAAGAAAAATACCAACTTAAAAAAAAAATGTATTAGGATCAGACCCATGCTACCAAATTTTAAAACAAAGTGGCAATTCTCCAAATTATACAGAATTGAATTTAAAACAGAAAAATTCATCAGTGGGCAAGACTAGGCATTTCAGAAGTAAATTTAAGCCATTTTAAGAGCTTAATCTGTGAAAAGCCAGTAAGAGAAAGAATCACTATTTAATTTGGTTATTTGAACCATTTAATTTAATTTTTATTTAAATATGGAACACAGCACAGCTTGGTGGCTCATGCCTATACACATAGTACTTTAGGAGGCCAAGGCAGGAAGACCACTTGAGCCCAGGAGTTCAAGACCAACCTGGACAATATAGGGAGACGCTGTTTCTAAAAAAAATAAAGTAGCTGACCATGGTGGTGCATACCTGTGGTTCCAGCTACTCAGGAGCCTGAGGTGGGAGGATGGTTTGAACCCAGAAAGTTGAGGTTGCAGTGAACTGTGACCACATCATTGCACCCCATCCTGGGTGACAGAGCAAGACTCCGTCTGAAAAAAAAAAGAGATGATGGATAAATGGATAGGATGCATGGATGAATGGAGGAGGGAAGCCCAGGGAAAGCCTTCAGCAAGGCCATCTCATCTCTCTTGGTTGGGGTAGGTAGGAGATGAAGACCTTCCTGAAGGACAGCCTATCACAAAGGATTGCAGAGATTCTCTGAGGTACAGAAAGTGGGGATGGTTTTCCAAGCCCAGGGCCTGGTTTTACACAGAAGCATGGAGGTGTAAGAGAAAGTCCAGGGCACCATGAGACCACCTGGGAGTGATGAGAAAGAAGTCGGAGGAGGGGTGCAGGGCTTGTCCTTAGGTGGAGAAGGGTCAACCCATACCACATGGAAGTAAGTTCTGCAGAGCACCAAGTGAACCACAACCTGTGCCGTGACTTTCTAAAGGAAGCAGAACGATGTTTTCTTAGCTCTGGCAAGGCAATGCATTTCTGCTTACTAAAGAAACTAGGTAGTCCCTCAGAGAAGACTGATGGACTGGGATACATACGAACATTTGCATGACAAGCTACAATTAAGCACAAAAGGGGAAGCTATATATTGGAAAACATATGCAACAGATAAGTGTAACTGATCAAAGCTCAACGGCAGGTGGATAAGGAGCTGGAGACAGCGCAAAGCCATGGAAGGAGGATGAACTTTGGAGTCCCATCAGGACTGCGGCCCCTGCTTTAGACTTGTGTGATGGAACCTATCCAGTCAGTTTCCTCCCATTTAAAATGATAACACTAGGCCGGTGCGTGGCTCACACCTGTAATCCCAGCACTTTGGGAGGCCAAGGTGGATGGATCACTTGAGGTCAGGAGTTCAAGACCAGCCTGGCCAACATGGTGAAACCCTATCTCTACCGAAAATACAAAAATTAGCCAGGCATGGTGGCGCATGCCTGTAATCCCAGCTACTCAGGAGGCTGAGGTGGAAGAATTACTTGAACCCAGCTGGTGGTGAGGGGGCAGAGGTTGCAGTGAGCAGAGATCGTGCCACTGCACTCCAGCCTGGGTGAGAGAGAGTCTGCCTCAAAAAAATAAATAAATAAATATAAATAAATAAATGGGAATGTCATCTCTTCACAGAGATACCATGAGGATTAAACAAGAAACACAATGGCACTCAAATCATGGTTCCTTTCCCTCCCTCCTTGTGTCAGTTATGAAGACTTTCTTTTCTTTTTACGACAGAGTCTTGCCTCGCTCTGTTGCCCAGGCTGGAGTGTAATGGCACAATCTTGGCTCACTGCAACCTCTGCCTCCTGGGTTCAAGAGATTCTTCCTGCCTTAGCCTCCTGAGTAGCTGGGATTACAGGCACTCACCACCATGCCCAGCTAATTTTTGTATTTTTAGCAGAGATGGGGTTATACCATGTTGGCCAGGCCAGTCTCCAACTCCTGACCTCAAGTGATCCACTGGCCTTGGCCTCACAAAGTGCTGGGATTACAGGCGTGAGCCACCATGTCCAGCCAAGACTTTCAAAATAAGAGCCAACATTTTTTAGTGTTTGTGTCAAATACTTCATTTATGTTATCTTATTTAATCCTCTCAAAACCCCATGAGTTCAGTACAATAATTATTCCCATTGTATAGATGAGAAAGTTGATGCCTTGAGAAGTTAGGCAACTTGCCCCAGGTTTGAATGTTCCTTAATAGAGTTGGGATTCAAACCCAGCTCTTTCTTTTTTCAGAGTCCAAGTTTGTAACTCCCATGGCACATTGGCACTCAGTATGTGGTCTAAGACAATGAATGGACATACTGTCCACAAGAAGACAGTAAATCGCCTAAGAAAAAGTCAACTGTGGAAGAGTTTGGAGGGATGTGTACACTTCTCAGGAGGGACGAGGCTTTGTAAATGGGATGGAGCTTTTCTAGAATAATCTAGAGATGTTCCAAAGCCAGTGTGGTAGAACTGTAGCCCCTTTGGGCCAGAGAGGACAGCTGCCCAGGTGAAGGAGCAAAGAACCTGACCCACTGTGCCTCAGCTGTGGGACCCTGGCTGGACCCTTCACCAGTTTTAGTCTCAGTTTTCTCATCCACAAAACAAAACAAAAAGATAATCATAGTTCAATCTCTGAGGGATTTTGTGATGATCAGGTTTATTCATTGATTAACTGATTGATTGGTTAATGCGTTCATTCCCTGTATATATTGTGGATATTGACTGTGTGTCAGGTATTGTGCTGGGAGTACAAAGAAAGCTAAGAAGTAGTCCCTGACATTGAGATACTTGTAAATAACACCACCCATGTGAAAATGCTTGGAAAATTGCAAAGCATCATATAAATAGTATTTAATGGCATTATATCCTTGGTTGGGGGTAGGGATGGAGGAGGAGAAGGACATGCCCCAATAAAGTAGTTCAAATACTATTTATAGTAGTAAAAACTTGTTGTCAACACAAATGCCCCATGACAGAAGAATGGGCAAGCAAAGAACATTCTATAACTCTTAAATATGCTGAGCCCTCATTCTTCCAAAGTAAGCACAGCTGTTTGGAAACGTGATTTTTTTTCTCTTTGGGGCTTGATCTATTTGGTCTATCAGAGGGGGCCGAAGCAGAGGAGACAATTTCCCTGCAGAAGATTGATGACAATTCCAGAAAGCGTTTGCAAATCACACCAGCATAAGGTGGTGTCAAAGCCTGAGTCTGAACAACATCAGCGCAATGATTGGAAAATGGAAAACTAGCATTTTCCAAACTATTTTGTCTGTGAAATGACAACCAATTAGATTTCACCTCCTGATCCTGCCCACTGATTTGGGGGTTGTCTTGGCTTTGGGTCCCCACTGCCCTCCTAGGTGCATGGTCTTCATTCTGCTTTTCATTTCAGACTACATCAATCTGTTCAGCACCAAGTGTCATGGCTGCGATTTCCCCGTGGAGGCTGGCGACAAGTTTATTGAAGCCCTGGGGCACACCTGGCACGACACCTGCTTCATTTGCGCGGTATGTCTCTAGCTTGGGGCTCTGGCTTTCTGGAAAGAGGCAGGAGGGAGGAAGTGGGAGCCAGGTGACCAGCCCTCTAAATCCCTTGCCACACTAGCATTCTGACATCCTGATCATTTTTAAAAGCTGAAAAACACCATGATGCCTCGATACGTCACAGTGGAACAAAGTTTCATTCCTAGTAATTATTTATAAATCAATGTGGCTTTGTTACTTTCCATTTCATTAAGGACAACAGAGAGTCCCAGGATTTCGCAAACCAGTGGATTGTCTCACCAGCAGTGTTGTCAGTGGGCAAGAGCAGCCGATGCTTGGCTTTGAGAGGAGCAGTTGGCTTCCCATGGTTATATGCTGCTTCAGATATGATGGAGTGACTTGAGGGTTTTCCCCTCCAAATTGTTACCCTGAACACTAGATTGGCGCTTACTTACTAATCCTGTGAAAAGCTGAGATAGGGTTTCCCTTAGTAGAACCTTTGGAAAGCAAGACTGAGTATCATTTTATTTTCCTAAGTGGTCCTTTCTTGATATATAGTTGCCAGGAGATAAGCCCTGGATTAACTATTAACTATGTGCTGCTTATTTCTGCTGAATAGCTGGGTCACTTTTAATATGAGACTGGCATTTTCCTTCTGAGTGTTTTGGATTTGGGTGGGCACATGATGGTGAGCCTACAGACATTTAGACTCTGAGGAAGAGGTAGGAAACAGTCATCCCTGAGAAAGCTCCATAATGTAAATCTGTCATTGACTAAACTTGATTTGGGAACTTTTTTTTTTTTTTTTTTTTTTTTTTTTTTTTTGGTTTTTTTTTTTTTTTTTTTTTTTTTTTTTTTGAGACGGAGTTTCTGCTCATTGCCCAGGCTGGATTACAGTGGCATGATCTCAGTTCACTGCAACCTCCACCTCCTGGGTTCAAGCGATTCTCCTGCCTCAGCCTCTTGAGTAGCTGGAACTACAGGAACATACCACCACACCTGGCTAATTTTGTGTGTTTTTAGTAGAGATGGGTTTTCGACATGTTGGCCAGACTGGTCTCAAACTCCTAACCTCAGGTAATCCAACTGCCTCGGCCTCCCAAAGTTCTGGGATTACAGGTGTGAGCCACTACACCCCTCTGAATGGGAAAATTAAGGCACCCCTACTATTTTTTAAAAATTAGTTTCTAAAGTAAATTTTGGAAATATATGAAATATCTGTACTGTTGGCCGGGCACGGTGGCTCAAGCCTGTAATCCCAGAACTTTGGGAGGCCGAGGCGGGTGGATCATGAGGTCAAGAGATCGAGACCATCCTGGTCAACATGGTGAAACCCTGTCTCTACTAAAAATACAAAACATTAGCTGGGCATGGTAGTGCGTGCCTGTAATCTCAGCTACTCAGGAGGTTGAGGCAGGAGAATTGCCTGAACCCAGGAGGCGGAGGTTGCGGTGAGCCAAGATTGTGCCATTGCACTCCAGCCTGGGTAACAAGAGTGAAACTCCGCCTCAAAAAAAAAAAAAAAAAAATCTGTACTGTTTCTACTTGAATAATTTTTACAGACTGATGACATAGGATGACCCTAGTCATAAAGTTTGCTGTCATATCCTTTTGGTTCTACCCTTCACTTCCATACCCCGCCATCTGTGGGACACACTGTATTCACTCTGTGTGTTGGTTTGCTAGGGCTGCCTTGACAAATTACTGCAAACTGATAGCTCAAACAACAGAAATGTATGCTTTCACAGTTCAGGGGGCCAGAAGTCCCAAATCAAGGTGCTGACAGGAGGCCATACTCTTTCTCCGAGCTTCTAGGGGTTGCCAGCAATCCTTGTCATTCCTTGGCTTGCAGCTATGTAACTTCAGTCCCTGCCTCCATTGTCACAAGGCTGTCTCTCTTCTTTGTGTATGTCTTTACATGACATTCCACTCTGAGTGTGTCTGTCCCTGTGTGCTTCTTCTCTCTCT